TGGGGAAAAAGGGTCCCCTTGTCTGATAACTCTAATTGGTTTACTATACCCCTTTTTTTCCCCATTGATGTTCACTACATAAGAGGCAATAGACAAGCACTCATAGATCCAATTAATCCACTACCTACAAAAGCCCATTTTCTCCATAACTCTCCTAAGTAAATCCCACTCTACTCTATCGTAAGCTTTAGACATGTCTAACTTAATCACCATATGATCCTTTTTCCCCGGTCTTTCATTATTTATGGCATGGATGCATTCATGAGCAATCAAACATTATCTATGATCTGTCTTCTGGAATAAAAGCCGACTGAGAGTTATTGATGTATTTTCCAAGCAGAGGCTTCAGCCTGTTTACTAGAATTTTTGTTATGATTTTGTAGAAGATGTTGCACAAACTGATGGGCTTATAGTGAGAGATTTTACTAGGAGCTTCAACTTTAGGAATGAGGGTGATTAGAGTTTCATTTATAGCTTTTAGCAATTTTCCAGATGATTGAAGAAACTCTTGATTGCTTAATAGACATCCTTGTTGATGACATGCCAGAACTTTTGAAAAACTAGAGTTATACCATCAGTACTTGAGGCTTTGGTAGCATGCATTGAGAATATTTTCTTTTTAACCTCCTATTCTATCACATTTCCCATTAGCCTTGCATTTATCTGATCAGTCATAAATAGTGAAATTCCTTGGATAATGTCTGCTCCATCATCTGGGTGAGAGGTAGTGAACAATTCCTTGAAATATTTGGTTATTTCCTCCTCCAGCTCTTCATCAGTCCTGCACCATTTCTTCTTCTCATTCTATAAGACTGAAATATTATTCCTTCATCTTCCATCTTCATCGATGCATGGAAGAAAGCTGAGTTCTTGTCCCCATTCTTTAACTATTTAATCCTAACTTTTTGGCTCCAAAATTGCTCTTCTTAACTTCTGCTGGCCTCTTGTGAAGTCCAACCAGTTTGATCCTTCCTTCATCTCTCCTCATTTCCTTGGTTTCGTCAATTTCTTTTTTAATATCTTGAATCATCTTCCCAAAATTTAAATTCATCTTTCTTTTCCAAGCCAACTGCTCCATCCTATAGTCTTTGATTTTCATGTGCATTTTGTACATATTTGAACCTTTATGACTTTTGTTCCACCCAGTGACGACCCCACCTCCTCCTAGGGCATACCCTAGAAGTTAACGGATCGCCTGCCGGCTCTCGCCAGGGCTCACTCACTTACATTAACTTTAGAGATAACATTTTGATAAACCAAAAGCAAACGCTCAAATCTTTTACAATACCAAATTCAATACAAAAATTTCAACTATAATATGAAACTAAAGGATTTATAATCACAAAAGTCTTCACGTTAACTTCCTAAGATCCCTCGTTCGTTCCCCGACCACCAACTCCTGTAAGGAAAATAAAACTAAAGGGCTGAGCTAAAGCTCAGTGAGGTTTGCCGAGCAAGTAACATTTAATAAACACTTAAATCAGTACAATTAAGCAAGTAGTGCACATTTCACTGTATAATCACTTTCAAAAGGATACACACTCCACCTGGGAGTCATTTCAATGTCATTGAGCATTCATTTCAGTGTCAAGAGACACTCATTTCAATATCATTGCACCTTCATTTCAATGTCATTATACATTCATTTTAGTGTCACGAGACACTCATTTCAATATCATTGCACCTTCATTTCAATGTCATTGTACATTCATTTCAGTGTCAAGAGACACTCATTTCAATATCATTGCACACACTCCATCAATTCACCTCCTTATGTCCTCCAAAACAATAAACAATCCCCTACATTCAATAATCAGTTCAATAATCTCCCAACTTCAAGGTAATACTCGAGTATACTGAAACATTTACCCAAATCTACCGTCCTACCCGACCAAGCCCATTGCTGGCTCGAATAGTCCATTGAACAGAGGGTTTTTGGGCCCAGTTCAGCCGATGCGGTGAGGCACAAATACGACTTACATTCATGCACACTTACAGTAACATTCAGTCAATTATCAACCTTCAAACTCAACTAAACCGAGTGCGATAAAGTACACCTCCGACTTAGAAGGCGAGGGACAATTGAGATACACTTTACAATGAATCACTTAGCAATAATTTATAATAAGCACATTTCATCACATATTCATAATAAGCACATTTTGTCACATATTCATTATAAGCACACATAAACAGTTAACACATAATTCGGAAAACACTCACCAAATACCCAAATAAATTATTCTCGAGCCACGAGTTCGTTTCCTGACTCACAGCTACTTCCTGAGACAAGTTCATAATTCCAAAGTGAATATATAATTTGTAGATGTTCACTTATTATTTATTATCCTATTATTTGATCGATTAAAGTCAAGTTTGACTTTAAAATACAAAATATAGTATTTAATATTTATTTTACACTTTATTTCAAAATTTATTAACTTTATTATTTTCAACTAAGAATTATACATTTTCCCAGGTTTGTATCCTTGTATAATATTTACATCAGGAATATATCTTTCTCAATTCAATATTCATTAATTATAGCTTTTTAAATCAACTGAATTTAACATTAACCTTTAATAAGGTGAATTTTAGAAATAACTACCTTTAAGGTACTTTATTGTCCAATTATTGACGTTATTAAAATCAAGTTTGACTTTAAAATATAAAATATAATATATTCAATATTTATTCCATATGTCATTTCGACTTATTGACTTTATCATTTAAACCAAGGAATATACTTATTTTTCAAGTTTATAATTTATAAAATGTCTAAATTAAGAGTAGACTATTTTTCACTTAAGATTCCAAGATTAAAGTTTAGGAACACTCCATTGGTCCCCATTTTAACTAATTAACTTTAAGTCATTCGTAACTTAAATGTTATTTCTTTACACTAGTTCTCTAAGTTCTAAAATGATATACAATTTATATATTATCACTTATCATTTGTTACTTTATAATTTAAACCACTAAAGTCAAGTTTGGCTTATAAAACAAGATATAACAAATCCAACAACCTATCCCACATTTTCTCTTGAACTTATTAACTTTTCATTTCAAATCAAGAAAGATATATATTTTCAGGGTTATAGTTTTGTAAAATGTTTGGACTAGGATTAAACTATTTTCTACTCAATATTTTAAGGTTAGAATAAATAGACCTTTCATTCCTTCTTTTTTAAGTTAAATCAAATACTAGATTGCCTGTGGTTTACGTCTTGTTAAATTTATTAGTTTTCTAGTTTTAAGTTCTCAAAATTGTTCATATAGTTAGTGTCAAAATGCTATGAGATGTTTCGTATAAATTCACCACTAATTTTTTTCTAGCAATGTACACGGTCCAGCACTCATTATTCCCTCCACTCCTTCCTCTCAATCTCATGCTCTTACTAGATAGGCAACTCATATTCATTAAGCTACAAAGTAGCCTTAGCTATCATCTATGAAAGCTTACAAAGTTGGAAATTAGATGAAATACTGGTTAAAAGTTGATTCTCACGGCTAGCATTATCGCAAAAATGCATTCGGGAAACAAAAGAAAGGCAAAGAGAAGGGTAGCTTTGCCACCCTCTGGTGTTTTGATCATGGAGCTACACTTATCGGATTGAGGCAAATTTTATAGTGTTTCGAAACTAAGATATAGATCTACATTTCTTATGAAAACATCGACACCCAGTTCTCGCATTTTTAGGGTCAAAAAGGGGCGGACAGAAGCACATTCTGCTTCACTCCCACCTGCACTCATTCCTCCCTTAATGTTTAGTTGAGTTTCTACTTGTTTCTGTCTTTCTTGTTGAAGTTTATGGACTTTATGATATGTTACAACTTACTACACAGGTCTAAGAGCTAAGGGTTGCAGGTAGGGGTGTCAACGAATCGAGCTACTCGCGAATAGTTCGCGAGCAGTTCGAGCAAAAGATCGGCTCGAGTCTGGTAAAATCGAGCTCGAGTCGATCTCGAACTATTCGAATATTTCAACGAATCGAATTCGAGCCTAAAAATGCTATATTCGATAGGTTCGCGAGCTTTTCGAGCTTAAGGTATATTTAAATATATATAATTTTATATTTGTAAAATTACTTAGATATATATAGTTGTAAACTTAATTACATGTTTTACCTATTAAAATTCAAAATATAATTGGGGTATTCTTGTCTTTCCAGATAATTCCTAAAAAAAAAAAATTCACATGTCAAAGTATCAAACTCTAATTAGGTCAAGCCGTTGAGAGCTTCAATTCAATCTCTGTCCAAAACACCGTTTTCTTTCTTCTTCCTCACCTCAGTGCACGGCTGTCCCTAATTACCTATTCCTTAATCCCTATTCCTCACCTCAATCCCAAATTCCAATTTCAAATCAAACCAATTTGGGTTGCTAGCTCCAGCCGTCCAGCTCCAGCCGTTTCATTTCGTTGTTGCTACTCCACCCATTTGGATTGTGCAGTCGGTGCAGGCGTGCGGCACTGCGGTGACCGGGAGCTTGGAATCCTTGGATCTTGAAGCAGGTGCAGTCGTGCAGCAGGTAAGATGTTATCCTTAAGTAATTTGGCTGGTCCCTTAAGTAATTTGGCTTAAATTCTGTGATCTCTGGAGTAAAGAACGATTTGGGGGTGGGTTTTAATCACGTGCATCATCAGCTGCTTAGTCAGTCTGGGACTCTGGGGTGAGTCGTACTCCTAGGCAGGTGGTGTGCTTTTGTAGTTGTATTTTGGAATAGCCAGATGGCCATCACATGAATATCATCATGTTGTGCTTTTGCTGAAGCTAGCTAATGGTAAATGTGAATTTATTAGCAATCACCAGAAATATTGATCTACACTTTCTTTCTTTTTTTCCAAGATTTCTTTTATTGTGTAGGTGGGTGTTGTGGTTGTTTAATTTAATGCCCAGGGGCAGGCGGGCAAGCAGGCCGGCAGAGGGTATTCTATTCTATTACTATAGCAGCAACCCAGAAATTAATTAGCAGAGATGCAACCATACAACAACTAGCTAGTGTTATTTATAGCTACTAGTTGCCAGCCAATCATGCTCCACTGGAGTGCTGCATTCTTTATTACTCCATGTTTCTTGGACGTTTTAAGGTGAACGGCGGGAGTATATTACTACTTAGCGGTTATTACTACTGCATTGCACAGTAGAAACATAAATATTTCTCCAACTTCATGCCCAGCAGAGCAGTTAACAGTAGTAAGACTTTCAGGAATGTTTTGTCCTGGGACTTGGAGTGAGAGTTACTGCACGTATATACACGTAACTTGGAGAAATGCGTACTTCAAATGGAGGTCCAGTAAAATGGGATGGTATCCGTAATATTTTAACCCAATCACATGTTTTAGATTATTCAAACTTTTGCTAAAGTGAGAGTTCTTTCTTTAATACATTTCTTGAAGAAATTTACTCAATACATTTATTTAATACATTTCTTGATGGAAGTACTTGTAAATTTACTCAATACAAGGATGAACAGAAGAAAAGTTGCTTCCTTCATCTATTTTATTAGGTAAACCTGTTATGTTAGCTTCTGCTGTTTACTTCTTATCATGCTATCAATTGGAAATTTCTATCAATCCTTGTGTACTTAAACATATTAATTAAGTTCAGTGGAAAGATATAGCTAGACATACTTACGGATGTCTCATTTGATGCATTTAGCATTTGAAGAGTCAATCTTGATTGTATTTTTTTGGTGACTAAAACTTATTCTTTTCAGAACAAAGCCTACTCATGTGGTCTTCAGTGGTTTTCTTCCCTTAGTTCGCACACAATAATGGAATGAAATTTCTCTGAAACCAGAATGTTGAATTCACTGCTTATTCTTATGGAGATCTTTGTCCTCTACAATTTGATAGTTCTTTTTTAACTCTCTTGATTATTTTCAGGTTTGTTAAGTATAATTTTTTTTATCTTCATTATTAAATTTCCTTGTAGTATAGGAATTCGCTGTATTAGTTAAAAATGTTCAACTACTAGGATGAACTCGTTATGGAATTCGCTGTACTAGTTAGAATTAGCTCTTTTTTCTCATCCAAGTGCAGCTTTTGATTCGAAAATTAGCTAAAATTTATTTTATTTTCAGGTCAGCCTATAACCACACTTGATTCTTATTCCAATCGAGTCATGTCAGGGGCAGATTCCTCTAATGCAAATAGTGCAGAACAAGATTTGGTAAGAATGGAAACCGATCCCCAAAACTCACACAATATTAGTGAGGAAGTTCATGAAACAATAAATCAAGAGGCTAACGATGACCAACAAGCTGAAAATAGAGAAGATGGAGATGGAGAAAGTGGGCAGCCAGGTACGGAGGAGGCTGAAGAAGGCAAAAGAGCAAAAAAGTCTAAAGCTTGGGATGACTTTCGAGAGGTTGTAGTAAAAGGAAAAAGAAAGGCAGAATGTATTCACTGCCTAACTAAATTAGCCCGGACTGCAACAGGGACCACTTCTAATATGATAAGACATAGCAGCACTTGTGTGAAGAGAAAGATTCATTTAAGACAATTATCACAAGCTTCTCAACAATCAGTGCTCAATTTTCCACCGGCTGATGCAGCTATATTTCCTATTCCTCCACTATATTCTGGGAAGTTTGAGATGGAGATGATGAGGGAGGCAGTTGCTAAATGGGTGTTGATGCATGAACACCCATTTAGCGTTGTAGAGGAAGAGGGATTCAACTACATGCAGAAACTAGGGATGCCGGAGTGGAAAAAATTTACTCGTAATACTTGTAGAGCTGATTGTGTGAAGATTTATGAAGCTGAGAAAAAGATATTGAAAAATCAGTTGAAGGAAGTTGAGAAAATAAGTTTAACCACTGATTTGTGGAAGTCCAAGAACCAGAAAATCGAGTATATGGTGATCACAGGGCACTAGATTGATTGTTCTTGGAAGCTACAAAAGAGAGTCTTGAACTTTATCAATCTTCCTCCACCTCGAAGAGGTATTGACATTTCGGACGCTCTATTCAAATGTGTCAAAGAGTGGGGCATCGAGACCAAAATTTTTACAATTTCGGTCGACAATGCCTCAGCTAATGATGTGGCTGTCCGGTTACTAAAGGATATGTTTTCGAGGTGTAACCCCTTAGCTTGTGGTGGCAAAATTTTTCATGTTCGATGCTGTGCTCATGTGCTGAATTTAATGGTACAAGATGGTCTCGGGGAGATTGTAGACATAGTAGAAAATATTCGTGACAGTGTTGACTTTGTAGGCCGAAGAGAAAGTCGACAAATTTTATTTTCAGAAATTGTCCAGCAGCTTCGACTCCCCGGAAGAAAGCTTATTCATGATTGTAGGACACGGTGGAACTCTACATTCGACTGTAGACACCAAAATTTTAAGGTATTTTTGTTTACTGGTATTTTTATTTTTGATTAATTTCATTTACTTTTAGTCTTTTATTTTTAAGTCATTTTATCATTTAATTAAACTTTAATCATTTAATCATTTTATTTTGTTTGTTTCGATTCTAGGTTTTTATTTTATTTGATTTTTTGTTTTGATTCGTGTCTCTTGTCTTACTTTAATTGAATTAGGAGTTTTTTGCACTAAATTTTCGGAAAAAAGGAAAAAAGAAAAAAAAGAAAAAAAAGAAAAAAGAAAAAGTCAATCAAAGGGACAAGAATAAAACACATAAGCCTACTTTGGGGTTTGAAATCTTGGCCTTTCAAATTAGGTTTAGTCTTTGGAGGTGCCTTTAAAAATGGAAAAGAGCCACAAGCCAAGAAAAGGGAGAGGGAGCTCGGGACTGAGAGAAAAAAGAAGAAACGGGCTGAGGGGTTGAGAGGAAAAGAAACAGAGGGAGAATCAGAAAGAGTAGACGGCGGGGCTGAGTAGAAGCAAAGGGGAAAAATCTGGGGGAGAGGCTTTGAGAGCTGCCCAACTAGAACAAGCGAAAGGAAAAACAAGAGAGTAGTCGGCTGGGAAAAGAGAAAACTGAGGGAAACGAAGAAAAGAAAAAAAACAGAGTACAGGAAGAACAGGGGGAAAATCTGAGACAATGGAGGAGGGTTCGGACGAGCAAAAAAAAAAGGAAGAATAGAGGGGGAAAATCTGGAAAATTGGGAAAGCAAAGGTGAGAGAGAGAGAGCCAAAGAGTAGACGGCTAGAAGGAAATGGAGTAGCAAGGGCTTTTCGTCTGCGGAAAAGAAAAGAACAGAGCGAAAAGAAATCGGGGAAACGAGGAAAAGAGGAAAAACAGAGCAAAGAGAGGAAAGAAAGGGGCGGCGGCTGACAGAGGAGCGGAGCAGCAAAGAAGAAACGGGAAAAACGAACGAAGTGGAAAAAACAAGAAAAACAGAGGAGGAGCTACGGAGGAATTGGAAAACAGAGGAGGAAGAAAAGAAGTCTGGACGAAGGAAATTGACGACGGACGAGAGAAAGAGAGGAAAGAGCATCGGCGCATCTCTTTTGCCGCTGCTGTTCGTTTTTGCACTCACCGCCACTGAAGCCGCCGCCGCTCGAAGGAAGCTGCCATCACCTCCCTTGAATCCACCATCGCCTGCAAATCTTCATTGAGGAAGCGTTGTAAGTCATCCTCTTCATTTAGAGTTTCATTTTCTGTTCAAGTTTAGGCCCTTAAGATTCTCAGAACCGGGAATTGTGTATTGCAAATTGCCTACTGATTGTCCACAATTTTGAACATACATGTTCTACGTGCTTGATTGGACTGAATTTCCTTGGTTTTTTTTTTGACAAATTTTTGGGCTAGTCGTACTTCAATTCGAACAAAAATCTGGTGAAATTTTAATGCCTATTTCCTGTTCGATGAAATGCCCAAATGAAATTTCTACTTGAAAAAACGACTTGTCTGCATTTTTGCATGTGAAGAAACGAATATTCAGCAAGTCTAATGCTTGTCAAGGCAGAATGCACAGTTTTGAGGGATTTTGATATGCTTGTGTTTGCCTTCTCTGTCTTTCTTTCTGTTTCTCATTTTTTCCTTTGTATGAATCCGCGTTCCATTTTGAATTGGTGGGAGAGGGAGTTTGTGCTAGTTTTGTTATCTTTTGAATGGCTATAGTGGAGGACGAATTGTTTTGGCGTTTGCCGTCTGCAAGGAGGAACGAAATGTAGTCTGATGTTGAGTCGTTTGGAGAAGATGATTATTTTCTGATTTACAATTTTAGTCCCTTCATTTCCCATTTCTTTGTAATTTAATCCCAAAGTTTTTAGAATTTCATAATTTGACCCCAAGACTTTCATAAATGCTTTCAATAGAGTCCCTGCTGCAATTGCAAATTGGTCCTTGAACTTCATCTTTCCTTCAATTTTGCCCCCCAAAGTTCTGGAAATCATGATCAGGCCATAAAAACTTTCTGATGTTTGCAATTTAGTCCTTGGCAGCTTTAATTTTGTACTTTCACTGTTTGTTTACTTCGATTAACCATCATGCTTTGTTTAAATGGCACTCAATTCATGATTTTAAGGGCTTTATAACCAAAGTGAGTTTGTGTTTGCATATTTCCTTTAATTTTCCCAAATAAATTGGTGCCTTGACCTTTTTTTTTTATTTTGGAGGGTAAATAAGTAATTTCACCCTATTAGGGCATCAACTCAAGGGAGGTACACTCTATCCTTTATTTTTTACTTTATTTGACCTTATGTGCCTTATGTGACTTTACGTGCTCAATTGCATGCCATTTGAATGCTTTCATTTTATTTATTTATTTATTCGCTTTATTTGTTTTAATTTAGTATTTTTACTTTATTTTTGTTCAATTTTTGATCATTTGAAAGGCACTTGAATGCCACAATTGTAATAGTTAGGTTATTATATCATTTCATTTAATTCCTTCCCTCTTAGATTGTAGTAGGCTTCCTCCCCGAATGTAATAGTTAGGGCTTTATTTGATTTACTTGCCTTATGCGTGTTTTGCATGTCTATGTGCTATGCGTTACCGCTTTCTTAGGACGTGCATCTAGATATCATGCATATGTGTTATGTGCCTTATGTGATCTATGTGTTTATTTGCTTTATTATGCTTCATCTGATTTTCTTAGACTATAATAAATGCATGTTATCACACTAGTCCAATGCTAGCTGTGATTCCTTTCCCGTCACCACACTAGTCCAACGCTAGTTGTGGCTCTTTGTTCCGATTTCCCACTAGTCCGATGCTAGTGAGGATTCGTAGATATGGGCTAGTCCAATGCTAGACTCTTAGGGACCTCCCTCGTCAGATCATGTTTGTATGATTACATTACACTTCATGCATATTTTTTCATTTTTTAGGATCTTTATCATTTTCACATAATATTTCCCCTAATAAAATATCTCTTACCCCTACGTATATATAACATTTAGATTTGCATCTCATTTAGGAAATTAGGGGGTAGATTAGTGCATTTTGTCTGATTAGACTAGAGATAGCCCCTTAGATATGGGATACTGATGAGTTTGGCTTTCTAGCCTTAGCACGCTCGTATTCCCTCTATTAAAGGGAAAATTGAGTCACGAACATTAGTCCCCCGTACCCGACATGATGCACTCCTTTAAGACATGTATATTTCTATAATTATTTTATCCCTTTTCTTTTCTTAGAGTCTCATATTTTTGCATTATTCGTGACCTCTCCAAAGAGTCATTATTGGGCATCACAATTAATGTGATTGGCACCATTCAAGCTTTGAAGAGAAATTTTGCCCCCCGATACCCCCTAGGTCTAGGGTTTGCATCCATATAGTACATCCAAATGTGATAAATTCTTTTGTTAAAACAAGAAAATCTTTGACTAAATCACG